CGAGACCGTATCGGCTCCCGAGGCCGAGAGCCGAGGCAGCTCCTTTATCCTTGGAGGTGCTGGGAGAGCCGTAGATTTGATTGGCGTTGGTAGTAGCGCTGGCAGTCGCCGAGGCGGTGGTGGTGGTGGAAGAAGTTGTGTTGGCAGGCGTAGGATCGAGAGCACCACAAGGGTGTTCCTCACGGCATGCTGCGGAGCACGTGTTTGTGGTGCAGTTGGAAACGCACTGGTTGCCCCATTCCTGACAAACGAAGTAGGGGATGGTCAAGCTGTATTCGGAGACATTGGGCTGCTTGTTGTCGCCGCATAGACATCCGTATTGGAGGGTTTCCTTCAAACAAGACGCGTTAGAAGCAATGGTACATCCATTAGTAATGACGGCTGCCGACTTACGGGATCGCACGTGTTGATCTTGGTGGTGCCCGGCTTTGTCTGCTCACATAGGAAGGGGCAGGAGCTCAAGGCCTGCGTGCACCAATGCTCTTTATAGTTCGTCAGCTCCATTTCAACATGCTTCGAGATCCAGAACACCCACCTCGTGTGCTCAGAGGGACGGAATCGGGGTTGATATAGTAATCGGCTTGAACGACAGCGGCGAAAGATGTGGCCATGGCCAGGACGAAGGTTCCGAAGATCATGATTGCGGTGATACGGGATGGGATTATTAAAGGATATAGAGTTGAAGTTGTAACTGCATTCCATATTGGTCAGCATCAGTCGAAAATGACAATATTGTCGGGCTGAAATGTCAGTTGCAAGCTCGGGACTTACACGGAGTTGCAAAGCAGACAGCTATCTTGCGGCCGGTCAACGAGGGTAAAAGAATAAACGAAAGAAGAAGAAATATATGTAGCTCGGCTCGGGTTGAAGAGCGGAGGCCAGCGAGTGAATGCAACGAGAGTTATTAGTAGTCGAGTGGGCAGGTCGAAAGGGAGAAATTGAACCAGGCTGATGGGAATGGGGGGATTCTGCTTCGAGGGAGCAACCTACCTTATTAAGGAAGCGGGTCGCGCCGGCGACCTCCATGTCCGGGGGGCAGGGATCATCCTGACGTGGGCCACCAGGTGCTCTCACCACCTGAAGCTAAGTAAGATAAGTGCCTGGCAGTCATTTTTTCACCCGCCTCTCACATCCGTGCACAATAATTGGGTTTTATTGCAGAGGCGGTGGCCGGACGGCATCGGCCCCAACTAGAAGCTTAAGAAACCACAGGAATCTTCCTCTGGCCTGGACTTCTGGGCCATCCGAACCCAAAACCCCGGCCGGCATGAAATGGGAGGTTGGTCGATCCAAGTAGATCTCTCTCGAACTTTAATCAAAGCAGAACAAAGGACGCTGTTCTGTTTCCGTTCTCACATCTAAGCCTGTGCTATATGTCCGTGGCTTGCCCTAGCCAGCGTAGATCTTGGCTTCCAATGGCCAGCCAATGCTAATCTGTGAGAATCACTAGTCCGTGCATTTTGCACGAGTAGTGCAAATGCTAATGTGCATCACTACCGTAGGTGCCTCAGTGGAGTAGCCAACGGCCTCACCACGCAGCTGCAATCAAGAACCCAGTTCCGTTTGCCGCCAACTCAGGGGGGTAATTTACTGGGTAAATGCCTGCAATGGCATAGCTGCGTGTCTGCGTGTACAATTAAGCAAGCACCATGTTGTGTTGTTGTCTCAGCTGCCAGCTTGGAATGTCTAAGACTGCACCACTCCGTGTTTGGTCTCTGACCACCAAGCTTTTAACCCAGCTGTGGGATACATATACGAGACATCCAACATCCAACCCCCGGCTTGGCTGTGGGAATGGGCAAGTGAGTGAGCCAGTGGCAAGCACTTTATTTGACGGACAAACGGACTGCTGCCCGGCCCTCGTATTCTGCATCGCCTTTTCTATCGTTCTCCCACCTTGGGGTAGCATCTCGCCCGATAAGGTGTCACAAGACAATCGTGTTGCTCTAAGCTCCTGCCGACTTGCCTTATGAAGGTGGAGCTGGAGCTCTGGGCAACTCCGCTAAATGCGCTAAAGGCGCATGCAGCTCCTCGGTTTCTCACAACAACATCGTACTCTTCCCCCCCGCAGCCTCAACGTTTAGTTCTCCTTGTTGAAACACGAGGATTGATTGTGGCAGGCTTGCCAATGAAAATCTCTAACAATGGCAAATAGGAGAACTGGCCTGAGGTAATTGCATAGCCCGGAGGATTGTCTGGGAAATTCTCCGGATGTCACCATAACGGGAGGGGGGCAAAACAGCCAAGGGGCCGGCTGCCGCAAGAACAGGTGAGCCAACCTGTCCGTCAGATAACCCGCACAAGGTAAAAAGAATGAGTGTCAGGCTTCCCACTCAAAAATTTATCTGGGGTATTTCCGGAACCAACGGACTTCGTCTTTCGCCCTCCCATTTCCTTAGCCATCTGTGCTGTCAGACTTGGCAGCCTTGGCCTTGTCTCCCTGGTTGCCACAGCCAAACACAAGCAGCATATGGCAAAATATTGCTTTGCTACGCGCTGGATATGCAGCCTTCCAACACGGTCATTTTGATTGGCCTCTTCGTTGCGGGATACAGCAACCACTAACGCATAGATCAAACATCAAGCATCAATCGAATGAATGGATGTAGTAGATAAAAAAGTATGAAAGGTTGATACAGAAGATGTCCCACTGCACCGTTGCTGGAATGCCGGCCCGACCCCACTGTTCACACTAAAGCAGCCACTGAACTCAGCACCTAAAATTCATACTGGTTGGCTCCAATGTAACTGGACTGGCAAATCGTCGGTGGTCTGTCTGAACTTCAATCCTCCTGCCATGGGTTGTTCAACACCATATACCTAAGCAATATCTCTCCATCTGGCAATCCCTCTCCCTGCACAAATCGATATCGATATTATACAATAACTATCGGCGTAATACTTACTTCAGAGCTTATCGCGACAAGATCGAACCTATTTGGGAACTATCAGAACACCATTCTATACGCTCAGTGCCGTGATCCGATTCTTGCGACATTATCATCTACCAAGGAAACTCAAAAGCTTCGAGAAGGACCCCGCTCGGCCGAAAAGCGCATGCGCCCGCTGAATCGCCCAGCTGAATGGCATTGGCAGTAGAGCGCGATCACCTTGTGAACGGCCGTTCGAACGGTGCTCCTGTACCCAGGCTCCGCGCTGCGCCGAAGCCCTCGAGTGCGGTTCATGGGTCAACCTCGACAGAGACATCTGATCACACAAACTCAACACATGGAGAGCACACGGAATTGCTGAGCCCGGCAACTTCCACGACACTATCCCCAACGACCCCGCCGTACTGGATCAATTCGAATATCCATCAGCGATCCCGCTCCAATGTATCGGTCGAGTCCATTCCGGCAGGCGCCATTACGCTACAAGACAATGAGAACAGTCTGGACAACGATCGAAACAACGCATGCTGGGCGCGGAGCGTGGAGATAATCGACCATATTATAGTGAATGGCAGCACCACAAACATCGGTGCCTTTGTTGTTTGGATCATCAAGGTCGAGACTCTCACCGTATGTCGCCCTGAAGGTAGACCAGACAACCCCAAGATTCACAATACTGATATATATACGTGAGGATACAGGGCAGCTATATGAACATCCGCAAACGATACTCGGAGTTCGACGACTTCCGCAGTCAGCTTGTCCTCTCGTTTCCAAACTTCGAGGCGGCCGTACCTCCGCTCCCCCCAAAGAGTGTCATCTCCAAATTCAGGCCGAAGTTCCTAGAAAAGCGGAGGGCAGGGCTCCAGTACTTTCTCAAGTAGGCAAAATTGCCTCTCGTCACTTCTCCCTCTCTCATGTCTTCACATTTGCTAACATTCCCGCTACACAGCTGTATATTATTGAACCCAGAGTTCTCCGGGTCGCCGGTCCTCAAGGACTTCTTGTTTAAATAATCATGTCGCAGCCTTGCCCGGTATGGACAGACGGGTGAGCTGAACCATGCGGCTTGCAAATGATGGACAGACTCTTCATTTTACCAACGTACATGCCTACCAGTTACTTGGACAAATCGCACATAAAAAAGTGGCTAATCACCGCCACGGCATAGCCTCGATGTATAATTCCAGCAGGCGGAACATTCTTTGGGTCGGCCAGGGACTCTAAATATTAATGATAATGATGTTCTGGATATGAGATGAGCGTTTTCGTTTATGAATCAAATTAAGGTATGCAGCCAATCATGCTCTTCACAGTCAAAATTCCAGGGAAAAAGGGAGAAGCCTCATCAAATGTGGCTCAGCACAGGCATAAGATGACAAGGCCAGCCGATCGGCCCAAGTACCGTGAGAAAACCGCCTTGCGACTCCTGGAGATCCCTAGTAACCGCCCGCGCTTCGCCAAGTATTGACATACCAGCACGGCCCGGTTCCACGTCATGCGCCTCCCCACGCTAACATTGCCGAGACTCATCTATGGTGCCGAACATGCGAAGACACGCTGAAACAAGTGAGTGTGCATGTATCTTAATCCCTTCCGGATGGAGTACTTTTCTTGGCCGTTATTGGGTGGCTGTGATTATGTTTTACGCCCTCGCCAATCCGGCTCTTGGCGTACGCGTATGTCTACCTCATGTTTTCTTGGTATTCCCTTAAGTATTGCTCATGTGTGTGACCTTTCGGCCCTTCATTCATTCTCCAGTCCATAAGCACGGCAAAACCTTTCTTCGTCTTGTTTCAAGATGTGAATGACAATGACAAAAAGCTCCCTGGTCCCCTGCGTGCAGTCCGCATGAGTAAAAAAGAGGCTCTAACACATCCCAACATCCCACGTGTAATCACCACGCCGTCACCTGTTTGTCTCGATGACACATGACCGAGCGTTACGATGGCCTACACGTCCAAGTTTCTCCAGCCAAACGGGCCAATTGGCCCTAATACCACCACCCCACCGTTCCATCACGCCCGGAGGTCCGATTCCAAGATCTCCCTGTTCTCTACCGACACTGACGTCACAACAACATCTTGGACCAAAAAATCGCAGGCATACATGGATTCGCTTGTCCCTCCATCCAAGGAGCAATTCGAGCACATCGCTCGCATCCAGGAGCAAAAGGAGCAAGAACTTCGGCAGAGGGATAGAGAATATAGACGCCAGTTGACCCTGCTAAACAAGGAACGGAGCCGGTCCACAAGCCATGACGGCCAGGAGAACAAGGAAAGGGAACTGGCCGCCCGCCTGATTCAAAAGACTTTCCGGGGCCACCGAACCAGGAGAGAAATGGAAGGCTACAGTCTCGATGCTAGTTCAAGGTGGATGAGTGCGATCCGGGAGGCTGAGTTTCGCCAGTATACGACGCCGAGAGCAAGGAGTGACACGGCAGGGTCCTCCACCGGGCAAGAAGAAGGCTCGGGCGGGCCGGTCATGTCCAATGCGAGGCGAAACTGGAAGAAGGCAAGCATAGTGGCTCGGCGAGCCGGCCACGACGACGTGGAATCTGACATGTCGTCCATATCATCGGCGAGCTCAGATGATGAGTCGCCGGAGGAGAAGGACCGCATCCGGAAGCTCCGGGACAAGTTACTCGCTGGTCGGCGCACCCAAGCCCAGACGATGGGCTTACAATACTTCCTGGAAATGGTTGATGTCAAGCATCGGTACGGAAGTAATTTGCGGACGTACCATTCTGAATGGCTGAGATCCGAGACAACTGAAAACTTCTTCTACTGGCTAGATATCGGCGAAGGGAAGAACATCGAGCTCGACTCGTGTCCAAGAGATAGACTGGAGCGGGAGAAGGTGCGATACTTGTCTCGGGAAGAGCGCCAATATTACCTGGTGAAGGTTGATGATGAGGGAAGGCTCAGATGGGCCAAGAATGGCGTCCGGATTGATACGACTGAGAAATTCAAGGACAGCATCCATGGTATCGTCCCTGCTGACGACCCCACGCCAGCCTTCAACCCTGAAGTTGTCCCACGCCTCTCTTCATCCATGTCAAGTAGTCGGAGCCGTAGTAGCTCCCTCTCCTCACTCGAGTCGCGGCGCGAGGCTGACCGAGCCGCCAAGTACAACGACCCCGACTTTGACCAACAACCCCCGATGAAGAAGATCACACACTTCTCTGCCTCGACCATCTGGAACAAAATGCTACGCAAGTCTGTACGGGATGGCACGTGGATCTTCGTAGCGGACACTTCGTTCCGGCTCTACGTTGGTATCAAAGCATCTGGAGCATTCCAGCACTCGTCATTCCTTCAAGGCAGTCGAATATCTGCAGCAGGCCTCATCAAGATTAAAAACGGACGTATCTCTTCACTTTCACCGCTCAGCGGCCACTATCGCCCACCCACCAGCAACTTCCGCGCTTTCGTTAGGAGTCTAAAGGAAGCGGGCGTAGACATGAGCCATGTGTCTATATCAAAGGCCTATGCCGTCCTTGTAGGCTTGGAAGTGTACGTCAACACAAGAAAGAAGAGCAAGAAGCTTATCCAGGATATGATGCATCGCAAAGACAAGGTAGTGGCACCAGAGGTGGCACACCAGCGGGAGGAGGAGGCCAAGGATACGAGCCAAAGTGCGCAGAGAGAGAGGGAGGTGGTACAGGGGGAGGAAGCGGAGAAGCATGAGAATAAGGCAGCAGTCAAGGTGATGAGGAAGTTGAAAATCAGGCCAAGTACCCCAAGCAGCTGAGGCAGAAGGGACAGACGGAGCGGTGATGGCCAGGCAATGACATGACCTCCAGAGGCATGAGATTTTTACGCTTTGAACGGCCGACTAACGAATACCCAGCCCATATTACCGATACACGTTATTCATTTTAGTTGTTAATGTTCCCCATGGATCTTTCTTTCTTTCTCCTAGATGATGCACCAGGCCAAGAATTGGTATTGGGCTCTACATACCTAAATAATGAATAGATCATTTCTCATATTTCCTCGTTCAAGTCTGTCTCACATAAATGCGCCTTGTTATGCATGCCAAGATCGGTGGTCATAACTGATGATATACGCTGACGGTCTGGGCCCTCCAACTCCTACTGTGGCTTTTGTCCTACCAGCTGATAGCGCGCCTCTTTTGAAAGAATGTGACCATCAGCTGCAGCCGAGACGTTAGTGGTGATTTAGTCGAATAAAACAAGGAAATAATTAAGCGTCTAGTTGCAAGGTATTATGTGTGGTTATCCAGACCGTAATATGCTTAGAATTCGAGCCCGCAAGTGACGAACACCCACTATCGCGTTTTAAGAAGTTTAAAGGCAAAGCTCTATAGTTAGCCTTGGAAATGGATATATCAACATCAGCGAAGCCTTAGAATACCATGCTTTACATAAGAGACTCGCTTTTTAGGCTCGTTGGTAGCACAATTACAGACGCCGCTCGATGAGATTCAGAGTCTGGGCTGACATGGGAGACGCTCCAGGGTAGGCACCTTGAGGGACCTGCTTGGCGTGCGGATGGTTCGCTCAGACTCCCAGGCTCTAGGCCGCTGAATACAGCGCGTACACCACTAAAGGGGCCCTCCAAAATAGCAATCGCATTCGTGGTGGCACCAAAATCATCGCTTCGGACCGCAATCAACAAGGTTTTTCTATCAGAATCGCGTCCCAAGTTATCAGAAACTGCCCGATGACGATCGAGAAGACGATGTCAGGCATTTTCACGGCTGCCCATGGCCTCCGTCACTCGCTCCAGTAGGCGAGCAGACGGCCGTAAATATTCTTTCCAGAAGGAGAACACGTCCTCGATGCGAGCCCGCACAGCGTTCCTCCAGCATGCCCCCAACGCCAATGTTCACGGCGGAGGCGGCGGCGGTCGCACCAAGCGACACCTGGACGTGAACGACTTCGACACAATCATACCCAAGAAAACGAGAATATCCCTCGAGATACTCCCGAACCATCCCGCGATCTCGAGCCATGACGACCTGGCGGGCAACCATGCCCCAGCTGATCTGCTGACCGGTGGCGCGGTCAGTGCCAGAGGGCCTACGCAAGACGCCCCTGCACAACCCGCCCCGACACCACCTGCCGCGACAAAGGAACAGAACCTCACCAAACACCAGTCCAAAGTGACCAATGGCATTAAGCATGAGCTCGATCGCTTGCAGAGCCAACCCGTGGACACTAAGGAAACAGGTCGCAAGCTTCGGTCGCAAGAGGCTGCGCGGCGGTTCAAGAGCGAACTATCGGCCTATTTCCCCGAATATGACGAGGTGATGGGAAACGAGGCCAAAGAACAACGTACGTACCAGTTAAATGCGCCATTCCCCCTTCTTTCGCGTCGCACTTCTTTTCTCCGTCATTTCGTGTACATAGGGGCTGATGTGATTGCGTTTCTTAGATCTTCTCAACGTCGACACGCCGATTGTCGTCATTGACTCGATTGACCAACAACCACCGCAGAGCGCTGTGGCACAACAGTCGCATTTTCCGATAACAGAGCCCCCAGAAAAAATACCCGTCCGAGGATATGGTGATGCCCTATACACAGACCTTTTCGATACGCAGCGCATCGACTTTGGGTTTCTGGTGGCTCACGATATTAACAACAAGACATTGGATGACCCGTTGGCGGACAGCCTATTTGAACCCACACATAAGCGTGCGGAGAGAGTCGAGCGCTCCATTCGCAATACAGAAAAGGGACGCGCGCAACATGAAAGAGACCAGATTGTGCGCCTTCTTGACAGTCTCCTCGGCCATGACTGGCTGAGGGTTCTGGGTGTGAACAGCATTATAGATGCCAAGAAGAAGGAGTATGAACCCGCACGGCAATACTTCATCAGAGGATGCCAAAACATTCTAGCCAAGTTCCGTAATTGGAGCCTAGAAGAGAAGCGGCGCAAACAAGAGAGGGATCGTATGCTTGCTGAGCGAGCTGAAGAGGAAGAATCCGACAGCGGTAGTGAGCCGGAGCAAGAAGAGAGCACAGGAGAGCGAAAAGGCCAGGCCAGAAGTACTAGCGAATCATCTTCGTGTCCCGCCAAACAGCTTCGCGAGGAGGCCATGGCACGGTCCAAAATGGCGGCAAAGGCACCCAAGCGTTCGCGCCCAACGGCTCCCAGGCCACCGCCCAAACCGCCGGGACCTCCAAAGGAATTCACGTCGTTCTTCAGCAAGAAGTATGAAAGAGATAGTGCGCTGCATCACCATCGGCGAGCAGGCCGCAAGGTCCTTGCGTGGGGGCATCCGGTCCCCGATGTCCCAGAGTCCGACTTCATGTTGCCGGAGGTGTACCGGGACGCGGAGACGCTACGCATGCGAGCGCGGCAGAAGAGGAGAGATAAGCGGAGCACCAGGAATTAATACACCATGAAGAGGGTATTGATATTGTGACTCGCTGCTATGCATGAGGTCTGGTGGCACTTACTCCTTTGTTGGGTTTTATTGTTGGTCAAACAAAATGGCATGGTTTTATGTAATACCTTATGGCGGCATGGCGTTTGGGAAGGGGGTTTTCGGATTGGAACAGCTCTGGCAAGCTTTGTGTGTATTAAATAATCTGGCATTTTGAGAAATGGGCGTGGAAAGGACCTGCAGAGTAGATAGAGATTCCACAATCGCGAAAGAAGCCTATTGTGAGTTGCGCATGGAAATATGGAGCCATTGTGATGCACGCTTGTGAGCTGCCAGCGAATGCTGGTCGTGTAAATTCAATACGACGCTTCGGCTCTTAGGCGGCTCTCCTTCGAAGGTGGCCCGTGCACGCAGCTCTCTTCGCGCCTCTCGCGCTCTGTCACCCAAGATTGGCTTCATCGCATTGCATCCTTAGTTTTCAAACTTGCGTTGTCAACGGTTCCGTTCTTTCCCGCTCGTTTCTCTACACTCTCCCTTTCTCTCTTTTTCATTCTGCTTCCAGCGCTGCCGCTGTCCTACGAGCCGGACGTCGCGTCGACCGGATATCTCCACCTGCGGATTGCTTCATGCCATGAACAGGAACCAGTAAAGTGTCGACAGCTAGGGTTTGATGCGCAACTAGTCTCTGCGCATAGGGATATTTTCGATGCCTAGATCATCCGGACTGAGCTCTCTTGAGCATCACTGGATCTAATCTCGCGCATCTGGTAGTCGGTCAGGGCATCACCTACAGGCGGTTGCGGCTGCCTGTTCCCGTGCTTCACGATGGAAGCCGAACCGACCAGCGAGCGCCATGCGCTCATTGACGTCGACAGCGATCAAGCCCCCAGCATGGACCAGTCTATCGACGACTACTTTATCATCAAGCAAGACGTCAGCCTCGAAGTCAACTTCCTCGAACGACGAATCGACGGGACGACAGATATTTTCATTGCCGTCCTCAGCGATAAGGTCGAGGAGGTGGCATTGGATGCCGCTCATTGCGATATCAATACAGATGGAATAATCATTACGGATCTGCGCGAAGCTCATGGCGAGATTGTCGAAGGACACAAACGGAAGGCCACGACCACGTACAAGGATCCATATCAACTATTGAGCCACCCAAAGAATTGGAACTGGACCGCCGAGCATCACGATCTTCGACGCATGCGCGCTCGACAGGTGTTCCATAGCCGCAAGAGCGATGTGCCCGCTGATAATAGAGAGGTCAAGGGTTGCACGCCAGCTTATGGCTCCCTCAGAATCGGTTTAAAAGGGAAAGGGGACCAGGACCGCCCGAGGCTGATAATTAGGAAGTCGATGATAGGGCTCGACGGTTCATCGCCGAGCTTGCACAGGCAATACAAAATTACGATCCCATTTACCAATACGGCACCGCGGGATGGGCTGCAGTTTGTCGGTGTCGATCCTCTGGACAATCGGTTCACCCACATGTACACTCGTCACACCATACACCCGGGCACAGCATCCTGCATATTTCCTTGCATGGATGACCATGGGGCAAGATGTGATTGGAAGGTTTCTTTTAAGTTTCCGCGAACTCTTGGTGATGCCCTCCAAAAACCCCTGGCGTCGAATCTCAACGGCGTAAGCCATGCCAGCGTGACCAAGATGGATATTGATGACGGTGACCGAGGGTCGGATCTATCTGAGGAGGACAAGTTGAGAGAGATGACGGTCATATGCTCGGGGTTTCTGGTGGAAGAAAACATCGACCCGAAGGACGACCGGAAAAAGATCATGACATTCGAGCCGGAGAAGAAGACTTCAGTTCAAAAGTTGGGGTTTGCCATAGGGCCCTTTGAACACGTCGATTTATCTGCCGAGTTTCGCACAGAGGAGGATGAAGTGAAGCTCGGACTCAATGCTCTTCGCGTCCATGCCTATTGCTTACCGTATCGACGTGAATGGGTACGCAACACTGCCGCTGCCCTGACCATGGCTGCAGATCATTTGACCTACACATTCGCGAAGTACCCGTTCAGCAATTTCAAGCTTTGTTTCCTGGATGACATGGTGGAGGAGACAGTACCTCTCCATTCTCTAGCTTTCATTAGCACACGCCTCCTCTTCCCGGAAGATATCATTGATACGGATGTTGATGTCACGCGCAAAATTGTCTTCACTCTGGCATATCAGTGGATTGGAATCAATATGATCCCCAACACACGAAATGATCTGTGGCTCGTGATGGGCGTTGCTCATTACATGACTGATATTGTCATGAGAAAGCTTTGCGGTAACAATGAACACCGATTTCGAATGAAAACGATGTCAGATAGGCTTGTTGAAGCCGATATTGATCGACCATCACTTTGGGATCTGGGTGCGAACCTTCATCTCGGTGATTTCGAAATGGACTTCATGTCCTTGAAGGCCCCCGTTGTGTTCTTTATTTTGGACAAGAGACTAAACAAGGCATCCGGAGGTCACGGGCTGACTCGAATCCTGCAAAAGCTTCTGACGAAAGCTCAAATCGAGAGCAGCGATAGATCTACTATTCTTGACACAGAAAAATTCAGAGCTACCTGTGAGAAACCAACTAGAACACGTCTTGAAAGCTTCTGGAGCCAGTGGGTCTACGGCTCTGGGTGCCCTCGATTTGATGTCAAGGCCAAGTTCAACAAGAAGCGCTTATGCGTTGAGTTGACTCTGAATCAGATTCACTTGCAAGTAATCGAGCAAGACAGACCAGGTCTGGAAAGGGACACCTTCTTGAGAGCCATTAGGGAGCGACGGGCGGGCACCGTCATCGGGGAGCTACAGCCTCTCTACACGGGCCCTATGACTGTTCGAATTCACGAGGCTGACGGCACACCTTATGAACATATACTTGAAATTCGGGAGGACGCTACAAGGTCCACCAAGTTCGAGATTCCCTATAATACGAAATATAAGCGGTTGAAACGAACACGGCGGCTGAAAGAGAAGCATGCAGGTGGTGCTAATGCAGACGCAGCTGATGGAGCTGATGATGCCTTGTTATACTGCCTTGGAGATGTTCTTCAGACGCCCGAGGACCAGAAGCAATGGGAACTGATCGATTGGGATCCGGAGACGGAGCGCAAGATGGACCAAGAATCCTACGAATGGATCCGTGTCGATGCCGACTTTGAGTGGGCTGCTGGTATGAAGCACACCCTTGAGCCGTACATGTACGTGTCACAGCTGCAACAAGACAGGGACGTGGTGGCTCAACAAGATGCCATGCTTTACCTGGCGAGCGGTCCACTGCATCCCATCGCGTCTGGTTTTCTGGTTCGAACCCTGATTGATAGACGCTACTTCCATGGGATCCGTGCGATGGCTGCCAAAGCCTTGACGAGACAGGCCAACATCAAAGACCTTCCAATGCTCGGATTGCGACAGCTTATGATGGCGTATCGCGAAATGTTTTGCTTTGAAAACACAAGCCAGCCCAAGCCGAATGATTTCACCAACAAGCAGCAATACAATGTTCGTGCATCCATCATCCAAGCTATTGCTGATGTGAGGGATCAGACACATCGCTGCCCACTGGAAGCTCGGCAGTTCATTCTCGACCAGCTTCTCTTTAATAACAACGAAGAGAATCCTGTGTCCGACCACTACTGGATCGCCACTCTGGTTGACGCTCTTGCAACTTCTCTCATTCCATCTCAAGCCGATGATTGGCTGACCCGCCAAAGTGCTCCGAATGAAGATGAGCGTCGGTTTTTGGAGTCGGCATTGGAACAGATTGAGCGCGTCCTTAGGCGGGACGAGTGGACAAACTCTTACCAAAATGTCTGGACAATTGCGGGCCTCGATGCGAAACTACGCCTGATGAAAGCAGAAGTCATTCCCAAGAACTATGCCGACTTTGGGCAGTATCTCTTGGATGGCACAGCCGACCAGATCCGTGTCAAATGCTTCGAGGCCCTGGTGGACTTGGGTGCGATCATGGATCATTCGGTCTTCACCTTTCTACTTTACGTCCTGTCTACTGATCGTTCACCTTTTGTTCGGAACAAGCTGATCCAGGCCGCTGCTCGTGGCCTTGCAGCAGTTGCTTTTGGAGAACATGAGAAGGCGGAGCAGAAACGTCCGGCTGATCAGGATCTGGATTCGGGACTTGTGGTTCAGGATAGTGGCCAAGAAATCGAAGCTCGGAAGGAGAAGTTTGCTCGAAAGCAGAATCTGGACGCAGCTCTGTTGGCTTTGCGAAAGGAGATGGATGAAACTTTCGCTGCCGACGAGAGGTATTACTCTACAGCTATGCGCAAAGCTCTTGATCATCCAACCCTCGGCCGTGCTGATGTAGAGAGTCTTCTTGATCTGGCTGCAATGATGTTTGACGAGGCCCGCGATTGGATCGTGACGCTGAATATGCCCAAGGGCTGGAAGGTTGAGAGGCCAGCACAGCAACTTGCTGACCGGGTAAGTCAAACCTCTCCCTTCAGGTTTAAGATGTGCTCTGACATAATTATTCTAGTTCAACATGGTATTCAAGTCTTACTATAAGACAAAGCCCAAGGAACCTTTCGTTGCTACTCCAGCGCCCGAACCAAAGCGACCCGTCACGTTGACCAAGACCTCATCAATTAAGATCAATACAAAAACGGCCGGGACACCAAAGCCATCTCAACCTCCACCGGTAGAGAATGGGCGCCCGGCAGCGTCAACACCTGTGTCTCGTGCCCCAAGCGTGAGCACCTCACATACAATTAGCAACCCAGACTTATCTTCTCAGACGTCAACAACTGTCAAGAGACCTCGGCCAGATAAGGAAGAGCCCACCGCGACACCTGTTGCAAAGCGTCCCAAGATGGACATCTATAAGAATGGCACCGCGCACACGGCTTCGAATGGACCTCCACGGAAACGACTTATGGTCCTTCTGAAGGCGAGGCCCAAGCGGCTTGCCTTGGCTCTGGGTCTTTTACAACCCTCCCAGCATAGGACTGGGTTGCCCTCGGGCCCCAAGAAAGAAGCGTCTCCTGATGGTATAAGGGATAGTATCATTGCCAAACCGAGGAAGCCACTTCCGACAGGGGGAGAAGCACCTAGAAAACCATTACCGGGGAGCGGCTCTTCAGCCATACCGGCCATGCAAAAGAAGTTTGGTGGACGTAGTGCCTCGCCTGCGCCATCAAGACCTGCACCATCACCGTCACCCTCAATAGCAACACCAGGCAGCACCCCGGTCCGTCCCAAAATTAAGATTATAAGAAAGCCCCAGCCTCCGCCTGCCGCCCAGCCGCCACCTTGAGCTGAGTTGAAGGCTGCTACGTTTGTTGTCACCTTGGATGCAATAGTTCCTTACTTTGAATCATAAATTTATTACCCCTAAGCGATGCATTTATTTGAATGGGAGGTTATTGCGTAATTTAACACGGTCTACGTTTGGGCAGAGGGAAGAATGTTTACCACCTGGTCTGCTTGCGAATTTGCAATCAGGCAGGTGGGCTTTGCATAAGAGTTTTGGTGTCTGCGCACGGAGTGGCTTATATATATATTGCATTGATAGGAGAATGGGAGAAAAGTTTGGCGCGACGGGTGTCAGCATACAACGTATCACTCAATAATCAATGTATTTTGTGCAGTACCGTGCCAGGCCAGAACGGATCATTTCATTCCTATTGTGAACCTGATTTGCTGATTGTTTGCCATTGCCCTGGCAGATTGTTCTTGGTGATTTCCCGACTGCCCCACTTGGGAGGCTGGTTTAGGGACCTGTGACGTGACGCGCTCATGATGTGTAAGCTGGTATCTCTTATCGTTATCGCAGGAACCACGTGATGCGGAACATTCCGTCTTCAGCTCTGCTTGTGCGATCCCGGTCAGATCTCAGCGCTCGCTCTGGCAGACAGGAAGCAAGCAGAATCGTAACAAATCCTCGTTGTCCTCCGCCGTCTAAGACTCCCGCCGCTCCTTGCCTTTGGACAGAGCAGGTTTACATTCTGTTACATATATTGTTTTTCACGCCGATGATTTTCAGCTAATGTCCTTGTAAGTAAGCTATGATTTGTTCTTGAGAATCCCTTCTGCCATATTATTTATTTGCGGCTACTGCGACGAGCCTCCTGAGCTCCATTCCGGGCATCAGCAAACGTCCGCCGCAAACTTCTCCCCTGCGCCTTTTCTCAATACCGAACGCGACGAATAGACCCATATTCCCTTGCCGGAGCTCTTTTTACTCTTGGGACATGATCGCTCATACCTTATTGTCTAGTCTACTATGAATAGTCAACACCCCCACGGTGGTAGCGGTGGTGCGCCATACGACAGAGAGCGCGAGATCGAAGAGCATCGACACCGTGAGGAAATGGCTTATCGCGAAATGAAGCACCAGGAAGAGCTTGTCCGTCGCGACCAAGAACGAGACGCTCGCGAACGAAGTGACCGTGAGCGAGAGCGAGACGTCAACGACCGCTTCCAGAACCCCCCCCGACACAGCAGCGCTGGTTCCATCCCTATCCACCAGCCTGTTGCATCGAGAATCTCTGGCGCGATACACAGCCCGGGCGGCCTTTTGGCAAACCACAATGGCAATCCGCCTGCCGGACACCTCAGTGGGCACTCGGCCCCGGTAGCCAGTTTTGGCGGTCCCTTAGTGCCGAGCGACCAACATGGACGCCAGGTCCAGCATGGCGGACAGAGCAATGACAACCCTCATCAGATATTCCCATCGATGGCACCTCATCCCCCGGTCGCGGCCGGAACACCGCAGGGGGCTGGTGCTGCCGGTTCGGCTGCCGGTGCTGTCTTCGGTGCGCCCATGCCCCAAGGCCAACCGCAGCAGCAACACCAAGAAGGCCCGCGAGGGGGGCAGCAAGGCGGCGCACCGTTCAGGGCAGTCACGCTGGGCCAGCATCAGATCCCTGGGAGCATGAACCAAGGCCAGCAGCCTATTCTCAATGTGAGTAAACTGTTTATTGATTCGGGCGATGCATGTTTTCCTTTGTCATTGTCGAATGCGACAATAGGTTGGGTGACGTGAAGTTGCTCAGTTCTGAATCACCAACTGCGCGGATGTGTTCTGGCGCTGTTCAGCCGACGCCGGCTTAGGAACCCCCATCTCACTTTCCTCTCAGTTGGTTTCTGCAACGCACCTCGTCATTTCTCCCCCCAAACTCCATACCCTTTTCTTTCTCTCCCATGAACAAGCAAGGCAAGCTATTCCTGTGACTGCAATTTTCATTACTCTCCTGCATTCGCGCGAGATCATGGATACTTGCGACATGGTCTACCAACAGCCCTCTCCCCTCGTGCAGCTGGAAGCGCTTGTCGGCAACCTCTCAGAAGGCGGCAGAGGTATTGTCTGTACCTGCAGCGACAATGTTAGCACGTGGTGCCTTTACCACTTCTATCTCGTACTTCAACTCTAATTTCGGCATGCTTAAACTTTGAATTACACTCGCTGACTATTTGGCTTCCAGGATGCTCTCACCTATCTTGACCAGGTCAAGGTCCAATTCCACGACCAGCCAGATGTCTACAACCGATTCTTGGATATTATGAAGGATTTCAAAAGCCAGGAGTAAGTTTTGTCTCTCTCAAGGTTTCGCAAGTTGGTGAGCTTTACTAAATTATATAGGATTGATACACCGGGTGTAATCAACCGAGTTTCGGAGCTCTTCGCTGGTCACCCCAACCTTATTCAAGGGTTCAATACTTTCCTGCCTCCCGGCTACCGAATCGAGTGCGGCGCAGGCAACGACCCGAATACTATAAGAGTTACGACCCCCATGGGCACTACAATGCAGTCGATCGCCGGTCGCGGAAGCCAGACTGAAAGTACGGCTGGAGGTCAACCTCCACCATTCCAAGATCGGAGCCAATGGCAACGCCCGCAGCGCAGCATCGAGAGCCCAGAAGCCACTTTCAGCACCCCTGTACAGAACACGGCAAACCTTTTTGCACAGGCAGCGGCTCAGAATGGGCTTTTCGAAGGCTCAGCAGCCTCCCAGCAGCGCGCTGTTGCCCAGATCCAGGGCGCACTGGATGCGCAGCTTAAACCTCGAGGCGCTCAAACGCCTACGCCCACTTCCGGCCCGGTTCCTGTAAACGGTGCCGCAGGTAATGGCAACCAGGCCAACATGAATGCCCGTGGCCCAGTAGAGTTCAATCATGCGATCAGTTATGTGAATAAGATCAAGGTTAGTCAATGTCACTGTCGTACTTTACTTGAGCTTCTTCTGACCTGCCCCACTTTCACTTCTTAGAACCGATTTCAAGACAAACCCGAAATCTACAAACAGTTTCTGGAGATCCTCCAGACATATCAGCGGGAACAGAAGCCCATCCAGGACGTTTATGCTCAGGTTACTAACCTGTTCCACGAGGCCCCGGATCTTCTTGAATCATTCAAGCAGTTTCTCCCAGAGTCAGCTGGTCAGGCCAACAAAGCGACCCCGGGTCGTGCTGAGGACCCAGCTTTGGGCCAAGTACACACGCCACAGGCTGCAGCGCGTGACGGTCAGAAGATGCCTCCTCTAGGCAGTTTCGCTCCGCCTCCTAGTACAAGCAAGGACAACAAGAAGCGGCCTCGTGTTGCTGAAAAGGCAAGCCCGGCTTCAGGCCCATCAACCGTGGAGCCTGCTGTGGCCAACCGACTTGCGCAGCCGACTGCGATCAACGGGAACAAGCGTCCGAAACTCAGCCATGCCAGAGGCACTGTTGACGGATCCAACGCTGTCGAATCTACTCTTACGCCAATTATCCCTGAGCCTTACCCTCCACGCCCGGCTTCCACATCGACACAAGATGAAATTGCCTTCTTTGAGCGTGTGAAGAAATATTTGGGCAATCGATCATCCATGAATGAGTTTCTTAAGCTATGTAATCTGTTCAGCCAGAACATCATCGACAGAAACACACTCTTCCACAAGGGTGTCCAGTTCATTGGCGCCAATCCGGATTTGTTGAGTTTTTGGAAGATGTTTGTCGGCTTTGAAACTCAGGATGTAGTTATCGACAACCGCCCCGCTCCTCCTACTGAGAAGCTTTCGCTGAGCAATTGCCGTGGTTACGGACCAAGTTACAGGCTCCTGCCAAAGCGGGAACGCCTCAAGCGGTGCAGTGGCCGTGACGAGCTCTGCCAATCTGTTCTCAACGATGAATGGGCCTCCCACCCTACCTGGGCGTCGGAGGATTCGGGATTCGTTGCGCATCGAAAGAACCAGTTCGAGGAAGGACTCCACCGAATCGAAGAGGAGCGTCATGATTACGACTTCTATATCGAAGCGAATCTCAAATGTATTCAGCTCCTGGAGCCTCTTGCTCAACAGATGTTGGCCATGTTGCCAGCAGAGCGAGAGCTGTTCCATATGCCTAGTGCCCTTGCTGGCCAAAGCACTTCGATCTTCAAGCGAATTTCCAAGAAGATTTACGGTGACCGAGGTATTGATGTTGTCAATGACCTTTACAGCCATCCCTTCGACGTTGTTCCTGTGCTCCTGGCACGTATGAAGCAAAAAGATGAGGAATGGCGATTCTCTCAGCGTGAGTGGGAGAAGGTCTGGCACTCTCAAACAGAAAACATGTACCTCAAGAGTCTCGATCATATGGGCATTCTTGTCAAGTCGACCGACAAGAGAAATCTGACCGCGAAGCATCTTGTCGATGTCATCAAAACTAAGCACGAAGAGCAGCGCCGCGAGCGTGCCCTCAAGGGCAAAGCACCACGAGATCAATTCGAGTGGGACTTTAGCGACAAAGATGTCATCGTTGAACTGCTCCGGTTCGCAATGCTCTATAGCTTGAACAACGGGCAGCACAGCTTCCAGGAGAAGGAGCGCATTCTCGAGTTCTTCGAGATGTTCATCCCTGCTTTCTTCGACATCTCCGAGGAATCCATTCTTGACAAGCTCCCCAAAATGCAGCTCGACTCCGGCGAAGAGGAGATCGAGGATCATACTCCTGCAGAGCTGACCAATGGCCGCAGCCGTCGCAACGGGAAGAAAGGAGATCTTCTTAGAGGGGTACTGGATCCCGGACGCAACGGAAGCAAGCCTAGAAACCAGAAGGAGGACAGCACGGCTTCGGGTAGCAAGGAAACCACGCCAGATGTCAATTCCGCCAATGAAGAAGAAATGCCTGATGCACCTGATGAGAGCCTCCCTGAGGTGTCCAACGAGCGGTGGATGCCTAGTATCCCGAAGCCGGTTGTCGTTGGAGAGAATAACGGTCTTCTGGATACGGATAGCAACCTCAAGGCTGATGGTCTTTTCAAGCGCAAGTGGTATCATCTGTTTGCGAACCAGACTATCTTTGTCTTCTTGAGCATCTTCCACAACCTGTATGCTCGTCTCAGGGATATCAAGGAGAGCAAGGAAAGCGCCCTTAATGAGGTTAAGCGCCTAAACCGTGACAAGCCCGCTCGAGATATCGGCCTGACAGAAAACTACATGGCCTTTTTCCAGCCTGATGAAGATCCCGAGACATACTGGCCGAAGACTGTGGAACTCATTGAAGAGTACATCAGTGGCGATGTCGACGAAAACCGATACCAAGAGGTCTTGCGTCATTATTACCTGAAGAACGGATGGAAGCTATACACGCTCCAAGACCTGCTGAAGACCCTCTGCCGTCTTGCTCTTACCTGCAGCAGCCAGGACAGCAAAGAGAAGAGTCCTGACTTGATCCATCAGCATATCAACAGCCGAGAGAAGCAGGAGACTAGCTATCAGACTGAGATCAGCGCAAGAAAGTTTGCGGAGAAGTGTGTAAAGGACGGGGAGTTGTTCACTATCCGATGGGTAAGTTTTCTAAACCGATGAGTAATCTTTTTCATGCTGACTGTTTGTTTCTCTAGTTCCCTGAAGAGGCCAAGGCCACAGTTCGCTGGTTGCAGAGGGATGAAACTACATTCTACACGGATGATATGCAACTTCGCGAGCGCTGGCAGTACTATATCTCGTCTTTCATTAGGATTGAGCCAACAGAAGGCGTTCCACGATCAAGACTGCAAAGAGTTGTTCTTGCACGAAACTTGCCCTCGGGTGATGCCGACTCTGATGATGGAGCTTCTCCCAAGCGACTTTCTTATGAGGAAAACTTGACTATCAGCATCTGTTTGAGAACGTCCAAGATGATCTGGGGCCCCGGAACATCGGAGTATTTCGTCTATGACCAGTCTCCGAAAACCAAGGAGCAGCGAGAGCGTCGTGAAAAGTTCACCAGGGCTTTGAGCAACCATCGTGAGCTGGAACTGACCAAGAAGTTCGTCCACAACCCAGCCTGGGCGAAAGACTTGAGTCCCGAGGAGGTCCAGGAACAGAATAGCAACTTCCGGAAGTGGATGGACGATGGAACTCCTCCCCCAAAGCCACTGAGTGAAGTGGATGGGGAGTAGTGTAGCCAGTCTCCAGTTCGGGTTGCCTGTGCGTCACTAATGGAATCGGATTAACGTTTAATTGGGTCATACATACGGAAGAAAGGAAGCGTTCCTATTTTATATCCTTGCTTTTTCCTATTTTTTTGTTGTGTTCTCTTCTCCCCCATGGTCGACTCCGACATTCTACTTTTCTTGTTCTCTCATACATGTATTTCATCAGCACAAAAAATGGGGGGCTGACTCTCGCGGCATGGCAGAAGCTCAGACGGGGGGTGGTATAGGGAGTGAAGCGGAGTTGTATCAGAAGCAGAGGTCAAACTAGGATTTTGCTATCACATCTATACTTCATGAAATCATTACTTTATCTATTTCACATTGCCCTGTGACATGATGACGGAACGGGAATTGTGCTGTTTGCCCCGAGGGACGGTATTATTTCTTCCTTGATTTTCAAACATTTCCGACTGGTAAGTCGTTCTTGGTATCTAAACATTCGACATTACACGAATCGAATCCCTCCTCCCTTTTTGACAATTTTTACTTTTTTGGTTTCCTTTATGTGATTAGCTTATTGCAGGTTCTCAATGACGAGGGCGGAAGCACCGCCACCGCCGTTGCAGATACCGGCAACACCAATCTTGGCGTTCTTCTCCTTGAGAACCGTGGTGAGGGTGGTCACGATACGGGCACCGGAGGCACCGAGGGGGTGACCAATGGCGACGGAGCCACCGAAGACGTTGACCTTCTCGGGGTTGAGGCCGAGGTGCTTGACGTTGGCGAGGGCAACGACGGAGAAGGCCTCGTTGATCTCATAGAAGTCAACATCCTTGTCGGTGAGGCCGGCGTGCTTGATGGCCTTGGGGATGGCAAGGGCGGGGGCAACGGTGAAGCGCTCGGGCTCGCGCTCGGCGTCTCCCCAGCCGAGGATCTTGGCGATGGGCTTGAGGTTGAGCTCCTTGAGCTTGGCCTCGGAGACGAGGACGACGGCGGCGCCGCCGTCGTTGATGGGGGCGGCGTTGGGGGCGGTGATGGTGCCGTCGGACTTGAAGGCGGGGCGAATGGCACGGAGCTTGGACTCGTTGAGGTTCTTGACCTCATCGTCCTTGTCGACGACGACGTTGGGCTTGCCGCGGCCGCCGGGGACCTCGACGGGGACGATCTCCTTGAAGAGGCCGGCCTCGGTAGCGGCCTGGGCCTTCTTGTAGCTCTCGATGGCGTAGTTGTCCTGGTCCTCGCGGGAGAAGCTGTTGTCGGAGGCGCAGAGCTCGCCCTGGAGACCCATGTGCTCCTTCTTGAAGGAGTCGGTGAGACCGTCCTTGAGGACGCCGTCGACGAGGGTCTGGTCGCCGTACTTGGCGCCGTTGCGGAGGTTGGGCAGGTAGTGGGGGGTGTTGGACATGGACTCGGCGCCGGCGGCCACGACGACGGACGAGGTGCCGAGCATGATGTTCTGGGCACCGAGGATGATGGCTTTGAGGGAGGAGGCGCACACCTTGTTCACGGTGGTGGCAATGGTGGTCTGGGGGAGGCCGGCGCCGAGAGCGGCCTGGCGGGCAGGGCCCTGGCCGAGACTGATGAAGACGTTTCGTTAGCACAGGTGACGGAGAGATGGTGAGGCGGGCCATTGCGTTGTCTCATGATGAAGAGAAAAGGCTGGATATGTGCGCCTCGCACGCAATCTGGCTTGTGATCACGAAGCACTTACCCAGCAGAGAGGACATTGCCAAAGAAGACCTCGTCGACGTCCTCGGGCTTAATTCCGGCGCGCTGAACAGCACCTGTTCCAGGATGATTAGACAATCTGCTGTATAATCGGATAGGAGAGAGCTATTACCCTTGATAGCCTCAGAACCCAGCTGGGTTGCGCTCAGGCTAGAGAGCGAGCTGGAGAGTGTCAATAAAGGTTTGGTGGGATGGCGGGGTAGTTGGGGAGAAAAACATACCCAAGGAAAGAACCAACGGGGGTTCTGGCGGCAGAAACAATGTAGACGGGAGGAAGATTGGCCATGGTAGCGATGTGGATGAGCTTGCGGGAGAAGACAGGAGGAAGGCAGACTGATGGACGGGCTATCAGGGAGAAAAGCTGCGTATTAAATAGGGGTGGGGAGCGGCACTCAATTCCATCTGTTCTCACCGTCTTGTATCCTCGCCGACGGTCGGGTTTCCCACCAACAGGCAGCTGCTAGCGGTGCCTCTCCCAACAAGACCGCTGGTGGGGTTCCCGCAGCCTGTGGCGTAAGCTCCAATTGGGCCTAGCCTGTCGCCGGTTGTGGCCGGTACCTCCAAGTCCCACTGCAAGCAAAGCGCGCGAGTGGAGCCAATATCAACGGCAATTCGTGATCGTATTGCGAGTGATGGATGGATTCATTTGGATTGCCCTGCCCCTGTTGAGCTGCCAGTCGAGATCCTGGGGGATTGTGACTAGCTCTGTGTTTCCATGTCGAACTGGACTTTGTTATCTTTGCCTATTCAGGCAGGCTCATCTCACATATCTGGGTATCTTAGTAGTGTACCTCGATCCCCGCATGTATGATAGAATATCCCCATTGTACAAACAGCGCAGTCTTTTGGATGCCACCGTAATAATGGACCAAGTTTACTATGCCAGGAGAGGGAATTATACATGAGTGTTTTTTCCCTGTTTTAGATGCTGAATTTTCTTATGCATGAACTAAGCCTACTATGTTGGCTTCTGCAGCTATGGGTCACGCTTCTAAGTGTTATCAATCTTGATCTAGCTCGTTCGATCACGGAGATGTCATTGCGGCTGTTTCTTCTGCATATTGTGTCTACTGCGTCTGAATAATTGTGCACAGGGATTGTCCTCAATTTTACGCAGTGCAATAACGTTGTGTGTTTGCCTTGATCTAGATACTCCCTCCTTCCCTCCTTGAGTCCCTGCTAGGGCCATTCCAAGTAGATCATTCTGGGACGCAAACGTCAAGGATAGAATTTTACGCTAAGGTTTAAAGACATACATGAGCCTTGCTGAGCTGAATGTTTTGAGTAATTAGTTCAGTTCTTTCGTGGAGATTGTAGGATGACGACGAACTTCCTCCCGAATACGAAGGTAGGCAGCACCATTATCGCTAGTGAGGCATTGAGCAACAGTTGCAAGGTTGCACCGCTTTCTTAGTCACTGATACATCCTCATTCCATGCCTGTTCGAGGAAACCTCCTATTGCTACAATCTGGTTCGGGGCGGTGGAATAGGAGATAGCTGACCAGATACATCTCGGAGATCTGGAGTGACGGAGAATGGATAGCCACCCCTGTCCAAAATCCGATCTGTCAGGTCCAGAGGTACTGCCAGGTACAAGCGCTTGTCCATCAGGGATCCAGGGACTGGATGTGGCTGAACAGCCAATCAGAGAACTGCCCGCGGATTTAGTCTTCAGCCTTGCATGCTTTCACGTGATGCAGAGTGCAGCCTCGTCGCGAATCATAGCAGCTTAGCTCAGGCCCAAAAAAAAGTTGGCGTCACAACGAACTGTGGTTAGATACTGGAAGTTCGCGACCGGACATCCACGAAATCCTGCACTTTCCCGTCGCCAGTCACAAATAGAGGAACCGAGTGTACCAATTACAGGATGGATGATCTCTACGACGAGTATGTCTTTCTAATTCCATTGTCATCTGAAGCACGCAGCGCCTGTACTAACGACGAAGCTGATAGGTTCGGTAACTTTATCGGGGAGGAAGTTGAGTCGGAGGAAGGCTCTGAGGTTGGCGTTGATGCCGATGCTTACGTATACGATGATGAGGCCGACGATGCAGCTCCAGGTGTGACCGGCCAGGAGCTTATGGAGATTGACGGTAAGTCGGGCTGCGTTTCGTTTGACTTGCGACCTCTTGATGCTAATTGGGATGCGCTCGCATGCGCGATCTAGATGGCCCCTCAAATGCGGTTATTCTGCATGAGGACAAGCAATATTATCCGACTGCAGAGCAGGTATACGGAGCCGACGTCGAGACCCGGGTGGAGGAAGAAGATGCCCAGCCTCTCACGCAACCCATCATTGCTCCGGTTGAGCAGAAGAAGTTCAATATCGAGGAGGCAGACCTTCCGCCAGTGTTTTTCGAGCGCGAATTTATGACCGATTTAATGAACCTGCCGGAACAGATTCGAAATATCGCATTCGCTGGCCATCTTCATCATGGCAAAACCGCCTTCGTCGATATGTTGGTGCTCGAGACACACGATATTAGCGAGAAGCTGGACCGCAGGGTTGGGAAGAATCGGGATGAGCAGTTGCGATATACAGATATTCACATCACAGAGAGGGAACGCGGTTTGTCCGTGAAAGCGGCACCCATGAGCCTCGTTCTGCAGAGCTCCAGGGGGAAGTCACACTTGGTCAATTTCATCGATACACCCGGCCACGTCAATTTTGTCGACGAAGTTGCTGCATCTTTCCGTCTGGTAGATGGTGTGTGCTTGGTGGTGGATGTTGTCGAGGGAGTCCAAGTTAACACAGAGCAAATCATCAAGCATGCGGTTTTGGAAGACATCCCGTTGACTCTGATCATCAACAAGATGGACCGCTTGATTTTGGAACTCAAGCTCCCTCCCAAAGACGCCTACTTTAAGCTGAAACACGTGATCGAAGAGGTCAACAGCGTCATCGCCGCCGCCGCTCCCTTATCTGCAGCATCCAAACGAATCAGCCCTGAGAAGGGCAACGTTCTTTTCGCCTGCACCGAGATGGGCTGGTGCTTTACCCTCCAGACCTTCGCCAAGATGTACACAGACTCCTATGGTGATATCGACCCAGAGGAATTCGCGAAGAGATTATGGGGGGACGTCTACTTCAACCCAAAGAAGCGAAACTTTACCAGAAAACCTGTGGAGGACCGCTCAACAAGATCCTTCGTCCACTTCGTGCTGGAACCTATTTATAAGATTTTTACTCATTCAATTAGCGACAGCCCAGAGGATCTTAAACCAGTACTGGCGTCTCTGGGAATCGAGCTCAAGCCTTCACACTACAAGGCTGATGCGAAAGTCATCCTCAAGC